GACAACCCCGTAACAATATGCGTTTTGTACTGCTGTTACACAGCACAAAACGCATAAAAATGAAATGAAATTTCAGCTAATATTTCATGAACCCAGTAATACAGTCAGTCCTCCCAGCTGTGATGGTATTCCGCGATACAGATGAGGCAACGTTGAAGACTATGAAAATAACACATGTCCTGGGTATTTCAGAGAGTAAAATCAGTTGTTTATTGAATTAAAAATTATCAAACCTACTGGTTTTTCGAGGAAAAATCCAGAAACTCCTCCAATCATTGGTGGATATGGTAACAGTGGTTTCAGTACAGCTCGTAGTTTTCCGGAAAACTGAAAATTAAGCGGATTAGCGAGTAAAAACAAAAACACATCCTACTGCAAGCTTGGGCGGCTTCTGTCAACAATTCCCAAAATGGCAGTCCTTACTGAAAAACAAAGAAGGAATGCCTTGAAATAAACCTAGGGACGGTTATACTCCTAAAATTCTACACGGAAAAAGAAGCCGAGGAACAAATGTCAAGACCACCAGCACGCCGATTACCGGAAAAAGAAGGTTAAATAGCAGAAAAGCGACAATTTTCAATGACAGAGAAAGGTAAACCACGAAGAAACAGAAGCTGATAAAAACGCCAGATTAAAAAGAATGAGAAATATAACAGAGTTGACCTGCAGCTGATTCAGTCCACCAGTGAAACCCGCAACACTCACATCAAAATCCGCGTCACCAGCATAAGCAACATCCATATCAACAATGATGCGATCACGGCCAACATTTTGCGTATAAACCTTAAAAAAGACGAATGTGGAAATGAAAATGCAAAATACAATGTTAAAAAATATTCCAATTGCATTCACTTCTTCCATGTTTTCTTCCAAGTTCAACTATTAAAGTTTGAGCAAGGAATTCAAGGCCAATTAGTGCGATGAATGGCGCAGCTCGTCCAGATGTGAAGATCGATTTCCCCTTGTCTACAATAGCTTTTGAAAAGGGTTTTTTCGTGACAGAATAATTACAAAGAGAGGCAAATGCTCTAGCCCCCCCCCCCCAAAAAAAAAAAAAAAAAAAAAAAAAAACA